TACCTTAATGTAACGTGTTGTGACAGATGTGGAGACTTTACTTTAATATAACGTGTTGTGACAGATGTGGAGACTTTACTTTAATGTAACGTATTGTGACAGATGTGGAGACTTTACTTTAATGTAACGTGTTGTGACAGATGTTTGATTATTTAGTCCACTCCATCATTGAGGATGAAGAAGATGAAGAAGACTGAGGTCTTCTAGCTGTGATCAGTCTGTCTTGTATCTTAAATGAAAGGTTGCGTCGTTGCTTATTAACATGTGAGGATCTGCTGTGGCCACCAGGTAGCGCTTTAACACAGACTGTAGATACGTTTGTTCCCATGATAAGACGTCAGCAGTGTTTTATCTCCACTGAAGAGTCCACCAGTCAGGTTAGCACCAGATACAGAGTTAGGATTCATTCATTTGAGTAGTTAATATAAATGTCACTCTCCTACCTGATTGGTCAGCTCTAGTCTAGTTTGTGTTCATGTGTCAGTTTTATTCTTGAAATAAAAAACAGCAGCAGGTGATCAGTCTGATGTCCACATCCTGACAACAGACTGATCAGCTGCATCCAATAATCAATACATCCTGTTCTCACTGACTGTGTATAAAACTGCAGCAGGTCCCAATTAAGTCAGTGTCATCCTAAAGCTCCATGAACCAAAATGTTGTGAATGTAGACACCAGTGTGATCACTCTGTGTGTGATTATTAATGTGTGTATTTGCGTGTATGTGTTTCAGTGTGATCCAGCTGGATTTAAGCCACACCCCTGAGCCGCGTCACGTCCTGTCTCGTCACTCTCTGCCAATCACAGACTTGCACTGTGGCCTGATGGGAGCTCAGGCCAGAGTCGCTACCGCCTCCTTAGACCAAACTGTCAAGGTGAGACTGAGTTTATATCACCTGAACAGGTACAACAGTAGAGTTTCTACTTAATCACTTTGACTCTTCTTCGTCACTTTGACTCTTCTTTCTGAAACCTCCTTCAGACTCGACAAGTCAAACAAACCTCTTTTACCTGTTTGTGTCTCTTTTCTTCATTAAAAACTCTTCATCATAAGTGTGACTTTATCTCTGAGAGGCAAATACCTCTGCACCGTCTGATGGTCATGAAGACAGTCGGTCTATCTCGGTTTCCACCCAGCAGCTTCATAACAAGCTCATTCATCAACTGAACTAGCTTTAGGTCTGAAGAACTTAGTTTACCCTCCGAGATATTTTAATCTTTATTTCTTTGTTGAAAGCTGCTGTACTGATAAAGTTCATGTGTTCCAGTGTGAACTGTCTAAATCAGGATCCAACTGGATCAGTAGCAGAGACCTGAATCCAAACTGATTCTATTGCTAGAACTGACTCAGAGTTGAATAAAAGGTTAATAAAAGAAAAAAAGGAGCGACCGACCAATCAGACACTAGACAGAAGAGACGACTGTCCACCAAATATCCAGTTGGACCGTGCACACGTGCAGATGTCACCTCGTCCCTGTGGGGGTGTGAGTGTAGACAACACACCGACATAAAACTGTAACTTCTCTTGTAACTCTTTGATCATCTCGGTTCATTTATCATTATTCATTTAGCATGGAGCTCTTCCATCATATATTAATATTGATCAAATGTGTTTATTCCTATTTACATGTTTTTGGGAGATTCATGTTATTTGTAACTGGGCTATATGGAAGTAGTGTTAGTATAGTAAAACTTTCAGTAAACAGTCAACATGTAAAAACCATGTGAGAATATATGAATTGTATCATTAATGTTGTGTTTTAGTGTCTACAAAAGTGCTGTACAAGTCCATATACCATTTACTTATAATATTACATTATATATTGCCTTTGGAATTTAGATTTTACACTAAGTGTGAAGTCAAATCTTAATAGAAATAGGTTTACCGACAATGGACTCAAATGAGAAATATGCATATCAGCCTTATGGTTGAGGAGCCGTCCCGGATTCATTGAGGGGAAGCTGTTATATTTGGCTTTCTTTTTGAGGGATGATGGGTGAACAAGTTAAAGTGATGAAGAAGAGTTACACCCTATTTCCACCATAGTTAGTGTGTGTATGCTGCTTTTTTAAACATGCTAAAACCTACTAAAAATAGGAGATGGACCTCTTTTTGCTACTGTACATACTGTTCTTGTATTCAGTATTGAAGCAGCAGTGAAACCTGTTTTGAACCCATCAGACGTCATTGATCACCTCCGATCAGAATGATAAATCCATTGAAACACTGAGCGTCTCCTCTCGTTTTTTTAATTTGGATAAAATCCCCTCTAACATAAATCACAGGAGGTGGAGTCTTAGTAATGACATAACGGATGGTCGGGGGTGTTGAGCACAAGCTGAGGCATCGCTCCTGCTCACACTTTAAATCATGAGGTTTTTAAGTGGAGTCTGTGTTCTGCAGAGCCAGCAGCACTATTAAACTGAGGGGGGACAGAGACGCATCACTTCCTGTCATTATTACACATTTCTATACTCTCTCTTTATTTACATGAAGAACGAAAGGCTACAATGCTGAGAAACTAACAAGACCGTCAACTGTTTAATGTTGCACATCTGAAACTTAAGAAAGGACGTGGTTCTTAAAGGTTCAGGTTCCTGCAGTGAAGGGTTCAATTGTTTCAAACTAAACGATGCAACATGTTCAACACATCACATAAATATTGATTGTCAGAACTAACTGCAATAATTTACATATTAAACCATAAAAACATTGACACGCTGTAGACATCTGAAACATGTTAGCTACCTAACATTAGCCGCTTAATATGTCATCCACACACTCTAAGAGCTCGTTGCTATCGACAGGTAAGCTGCCAGTTTTATGTACTTTGTGTTGACTTGAAGTGAAGCCATCAAAACATTACAGTCTGGTGAATCAGTAAAGAACTGGTCACCTGGTGATAGCAATGTGCTTTCCTACGCTGTGACAAGAAAGAGTGGATGAAGCATTAAATTGTTACATTTTACTCATTTAGCATCTGGCTAGTTAACTAGCTAGCTAATGATGCTATTATGCTGCACTGGTTACAGAAAATGAGCCGAACATAGTTGTCACTCTTAACAACCAATCACAGATGCGTCGAGGCAACTAGTACCAGCCAATCACAGCACAGTACTGCGTGTGTGAGTGACTGTGCACCTCTATGTTGTCCTCGGCTAGTCTGGTGCGGCCAACTGCATAATATTTAGAGTGGCCAGTTATGGCTGCATGTAGTGCTGGGCGGTATGACCAAAAATGTGTATCACGGTATTTTTTAAGATTCTGGTGGTTTCACGGTATATCATGGTATTTCTTTTTTTCCTTGACTGTGTTTTTCTATATGTTTATAGAGGCTTACTCTACTGTCAGGAGTACATAGAATATACAAACATGTTAATATCTTCATCTATAAAGGCTTTGATTACTAGAGGGTTAGGGTTGTTTGTTCCTATAATGTTGGGATAGCAGTTTGGCTGAAGTATTGTAGCTCCGGTCAGACGTACCATGAATCCAGTGTTTTAATCATTGCTCTGAGTCTTTCTCCACAGTCTGTAGCGGGACCATGTCCTTGCATAGATGGATAGTTATTGCGTTCCTAATGTTGCTCCACTGCTTGCTTTTCTTGTCATAAGCTGCCTCGAGCAAATGCCTCTTCAAGCGATGTCTGACCCTTCGGCTTCACTGTTTCACTCGCGTTAACGTTACCGGTTGACGGCCTCGAATCCGACGGCGTCATCACACTCTTGGTATTCCAACACATGTTTTCTGCTGAGGTGATGGAGTAAGTTGCTCGTGTTACCACCAGCGGCAACAACAGTGGCTCGACAAACTCGCAAAACGTCGGACTTTTTAAAACCAAAACACGTCCAAACAGCAGACCCAGCTCCTCTCTTGGGCACAGACTCTATCGGTGCATCTCCGGTCTGTCTTTGTTCCTCCTGCATCGCTCTGTTCTGTTCTTTAATGTAACGTTACTGTAGCGACGGAGCCTCTCCCAGCTGTTAGCAGACTGTTGTGCTAGCGGGCTAGCTAGCGAGCTGTACCCAGCATAACGTTCGGCGGTGAAATTTTATAAATGTACAAATCGTTTATTTGTCACAAACTGTTGTGTCGTGGTATTTTGTTGTTAAAGAGCGTTAGTTGTGGGTTATTAATTGTTATAACCATGACTAGGGGTCCCTCTCAATACAGTTAGCTCCGACTGTAGCCGTCTTAGCAGCGAACAATATATTTAGCTGCCTGTTGAATAGCAGTTGTTTCGACTATGCACCGGTATGACGGTGTGTGAAAAATTAATATCCTACGGGAAATTCAAACCAGTATACCGCCCAGCACTAGCTGCATGGTCAAGGACCTGTCACGGTTGAGGTGACTCACTTTCTTAAAACACCTTTTATTGCCTGTTTTATTCTGCCACTCATTGCCTGCTGACTCCTCACACTCTACTCTTAAAGGCCCCAGACTCTTCTGTGTGCCTTTTTATTGGGCATCAACCTTTCGTCTAAATATACTTCCATCCATTTTCCTCGGCTTATCCGGGGTCTGGTCGCGGTGGCGGCAGGCCAAGCAGGCCGACCCAGACTTACCTCTCCCCTGCAACACATTCCAGCTCATACTGGAGTATCCCGAGGCGTTCCAGGCCAGCTGGGAGATATAATCCCTCCAGCGTGTTGTGGGTCTTCCCGGGGCCTCCTCCCAGTTGGACGTGCCCGGAAAACCTCCAGTGGGCGGCGTCCAGGAGGCATCTTAATGAGATGCCCAAACCACCTCAGCTGACTCCTTTCGACGGGAAGGAGTAGCGGCTCCACTCCAAGCTCCCTCCTGATGACCGAGCTCCTTACCCTATCTCTAAGGCTGAGCCCGGCCACCCTACGGAGGAAACTCATGTCGGCCGCTTGTAGCCGCGACCTCGTCCTTTCGGTCACGACCCAGAGTTCGTGACCATAGGTGAGGGTAGAAATGTAGACCGACCAGTAAATTGAGAGCTTCGCCTTCCAGCTCAGCTGCCTCTTCACTAAGATGGTCCGGTGCAGCGCCTGCTTTACTGCTGCAGCCGCACCGATCCGCCTGTCGACCTGCCGCTCCATCTTAACCTCACTCGTGGACAAGACCCCAAGATACTTGAACTCCTTTTGCTTGCTGTAGGCACTCCGTCCCCACCTGGAGGGAGCAATCCACCGGTTTCCGGCAGAGCACCATGGTCTCAAATTTGGAGGTGCTAACTCTCATCCCCGCCGCTTCACACTCTGCTGCAAACCGCCCCAGTGAATGATGGAGGTCACGATCTGAGGAGGCCAACAGGACCACATCATCTGCAAACAGCAGAGAGGCGATTGCGAGACCCCCGAACCTGACGTTCTCCAACTCCCGGCTGTGCCTAGATATCCTGTCCATGAAAGTCACGAACAGGACCGGCGACAAAGGGCAGCCCTGGCGGAGGCCAACACCCACCAGGAAGGTGTCTGACTTATTGCCGAGAATGCTGATACAGCTCCTACTGCAGTCGTACAGAGACTAGATGGCCCGTTGGAACGGGTCCGGCACCCCATACTCCCATAGCACCCCCCACAAGAACCCCCGAGGGACCCGGTCGTAAGCCTTCTCCAAGTCCACAAAGCACATGTAGACTGGTTGGGCAAACTCCCAGAACCCCTCCAGTAGTCTTGCGAGGGTAGAGAGCTGGTCTACTGTTCCACGGCCGGGACGGAATACGCACTGCTCCTCTTGATCGGAGTCTCCTTTCCAGCACCCCGACATAAGCCTTCCCCGGGAGGCTGAGAGGTGTGCGGCCAAGACAGCCCAACAGTCTCCAGCGCCTTCAGCATCTCAGGGCGGATCTCATCCACCCCCGGTGCCTTGCCACCAAGGAGCTTTTTGACTACCTTAGCAGC